TCAACTTGCCCGTGCACATGGCTGTCTAGTTCTCTCCAGAACCCAGAACGGCTGGTCAGGGTCTGAAAATCAACGTGAATACTGACTCTCTTTCTTTTCCTTTCATAAGATATCCAGTATATTTCCTCCATCAAATGTAAATGTTAAAACCTCAAGAAATGCAGCCCAGGGGATCACACCCATAGAACAATAAGCCCAGAACAGAGGGATCAAAGACAAGAAAAGGTTAGGGAAAATAAACCTCATTTGACAAATGAAAAAGTGTTTCTGTCTTTCATCGAAGTGTTGTGGACAATTAATATTTATGCTCTGTAGGAAGAAACAGGGTAAAATTTGACTTCTAGAGTTTGAAATACACCTTCCACATTTATGACCCACTAGTAACAAAATATATACTCAGATAACAAACACACTATTATTCATGAAAGAATCCCAAATTAAAGGGTGATTTTTCAGTCCAAGTAAATTCAGAAAAGCTGCCAAAGCAGTCATTTGCCTCTCAATGATCTCATTTGTTTTCACCGAACAATACTCTGGTTTTTCTTTTTTTAAATTAGATTAATCTCTTGCCAGCTATTAAGCTATTTGGATAAAAATATAATCATTATTAGTATAAAAATAATCTCAAAGGTACACTGAAGTACTTGCTGGAGAGGAATTAATTATCCTTTATTTACTCCTTTGTCTTATGGCATATTCTAGCTCCATAAAAGTTAAGAACAATTTGGTTAGCACATCTTTTTGCTGGTACCTGGCCTATGGATCAGTAAATACTGTTGAAACTAATGAAGAAATGGAGCGTATGAGAACTCTGAGTAAAGCAAACATGAACACACCCACAACCTTCCTAAGAGCACTTCTGGAAATAAGATTTGTCATATTTCTGTCCTCAGGCTGATCTATTCTCTCACCTCCTCTTCAATATCAATGTCTTTTTCAGGGAAAATTTAGTAGCAGTTGGGATAGAATTGTGTTACTTTATTATCATTCCCCTTACCTGTCTCCAAGCAAGCAACAGATGCTTATCACAAATAGTTTGAATTCAGCAGCTCTGAAGGAAGCTTAGGAAGTTGCACTCTGATAAGTTCCCAAGGTGCTTAGGGTGGCCGGTGACATCTCAGAACCTGTGGGTACCATGTCTTCCCTGGAACCTCCCCACACCAGCCCTCTGCAGATGGGACAGCTCCTACTCACTCACAGAGATGAGTTACAGTTTCCAAAAGCCACCCCAGGGCCATGCTCCATCCCCGGGCAGCATCTATCCTCTTCTACTTTCTCCCTGGATGATGTCCCCCAGATGGTATCTGTATCCTAAGAGAGCAAGCTCTTCAAGGACAAGGATACCTGGACAGCTGGTGCTCAACTTTGGGAAAATGACACACTGGCAACTCAACGATTTAACTTCTCTAGGCCTGCAGGGTCCTCATATGTAAAACAAGAAAGAAATTACCTCTACTGTGAGCAGTAAGGGATAAACCAACTAAGCTATTATCCAGCAGTGGGAAAAAACAAGTACCTTTCACACTTCAATGAAATAGCAGATGGATCTGGGTGTGATGGTGCACACTAACTGTAATCCCAGCTACTCAGGAGATGAAGCAGGAAGATCATAAGTTAAGACTCAGGTTGGAAAACTTAGCAATTTAGGAAGTCCCCATCTCAAAACTTTAAAAAAGGAGTGGGGGAGCTGGAGGTGTAGCTGAGCAGTAGAGTAGTTGCCGAGCATATCTGAAGACTTGGTTCAATGGCCAGAAACACACACACACATGGCCACACTACATGGAAAGTCAGATGAGCCTGGCCTTCATGGGCCTGGGAGGTCCTGGGAGATCCAGGCAGGTGACACTTCTTCTCACACCAGCAGGTGACCCAACATCTGTAAAATCATATTTCCTGTGGGAACAGTGTCATCACTGAGGAGCTGTACACCTGACCAGCACCCTAGCCTTCAGGGAAGAAGGACTGAAAGGCCCATCCAAAGGCAGGGTCACAGGGACTGACACACAGCACATAGCAACCAACCTCTGTGGTTACTCTAAAGAACGAAGTCAGCTATGCGCCTTACTTACACAAGTGGCCTAAACAGAGGCAGCATACAGAATAAAGCAGAAACATGGTCGCAGAATCCTACAGGGAACTTTAGATGGCTCCAGTGTAAGAGATGATCACGGAGAATGGGGTGGTAGTGCGTCTTCCCTCTCAGTGCTTTCCTGCCTGGCCGTGTGGAAACAGGAAGGAGGATTCATCTCTGAGGCCTCTGAAGGCATCAGATGCAGGGTGCACTGGTGACGAGGCTGACGGTAACTGTATTTCTCATAAAAATCACTCTGAGAAAAACAGCGAGCAAAGCATCCCCCTTTCCTCTCCCAGCTTCTATTCTAAGCACAGCTAAGCCTCTGAATCTTTGCAGTACTGGGCCCAGCCCTGTGCAGACAGAATCAATCAAGTTCTAACTTGCTGACAGCCAACGGTGCTTTCTACAGTTCATCAGAAAGCATAAAAGCACTGACCACTGTCAGCAAGGCCCTTGTGGGAGTTTGACAGCGTTCCTCACCCAGGAGAAGGAGGAAACCATCCTCATAATGGTGGGGACAGAAGCAGACAGCACAGGTCTGAGTGTGACTCACAGTCTACAGTGAGGTCATGGCCTGCTGGACGGGGAACTTGGGCTGCACGGTGGCGGGGTTTTTAGGGCTAACCCAGCCCCTGTGTGTAGGCTTTGCCAGGGGTCTCACCACCTGCCCTCCTCAGCTTTCTCATCTTCAGGAAGAAAGTCTGAAAGCTCTCAAGGGAAGACAGGGAAGTAGCCTTGTTTTGTGGGAGCCCATTCGCTAATGTCTCCCACGCTTTCACCAGTGGTGCGCATCCCTCCCACCACAGTGTGACTCCCAGGTCTCTGTCCTTGAGAGACACAGACGTGGGCACAGCAGGAGAAGCAGGCTGGCTCCCTGGGACTCGGTAAAAAATTAAGATCTAAACATCCACCAGCAGAGAGCTGTTGAATGAATTATTGTACATTGGTGCTACAGGATTCATGCAGCAACTGAGAAAGCATGAACTTTCCTGGGAAAAATCCCTATATTACATTTGTTAATTTTTCTTAAAGCAAACTGCAAAGGAGTATGTACTGTTCCATTCCATTTGTACAAATAAAAAGCCTACAAAACTACATATACATGTAGTAAATTGCATAAGATCTGGGAAAGGTACAATAAACTACTAATAGTTTCCTCCCTGTTTAAATTATTTAGAATGATAATGTGTTAACATAGTTGTTATGGTTTGTGTCTGTGTGTCCCCCCAAAGCCTCATGCGGTCATGGGGCAGGCTTTTAGAGTTTGATTGATTATGGGTGTGAGAGCTACACCTGCCTTGGGGTAGATAGTTTGCATATGTAAGGGAGACGAAGAGGCTGTTTGTTGCCATTCCTCCTTTGTGTGTGCTTGTTGCTTTGGCTGTGTTCTGCCGCTATGAGCTGTAGCTCTCTGCCATGTGCCACTCTGCCTGTAACCTGCCAAATATGGACTGAAACCTCCACAAACTGTAAGTGAAATAAACTTTTCCTTCCTTAATTTTGGGTGTCAGGTATTTTGTCCCAGCAACGAGAGGAAAGTAACCAAGACACATAGTAGTCATCTAATTAAGTTAAAATTAAACATAATTATGTTAAGGAAAGAAACAAGGGAGAAAAATCAGAAAAGACAAAGCAAAGAAAGTCCCAACAAATGATGGGAGGCGCAGCCAGCGCTCGGGATCAAGACCTTCAGCCCCACTTAGCTTCAGGATTGAGAAAGACTTGATAAGCCTCCTGCAGCAGGTCAACATCAAGGATAGATTTTCTTAGTCATAACGGGCTGCTTGGCTTTATTTCCTATGTAATTAACTAATGATGTGAACTTTTCAAATAGGAAGAAAGCAAAGGGTTGGTTGGAGGAAACCCACAGCCTCCCAGTAACAAAGAGTGAACAGGGTCCTCACCCCAAAGACACTGACTGAGACAGATTCCTCTACCAGCCTCTCAAGGATGAGGTTCTCATCCCTCAACAAGGAAGCCAACCTCCCCCTTCCTCTCCTTCCTTCATCTTGCAACAGGGCACCTCCAGCCTCTGGCTACACGAGAGACTCAGAGAAGGCTTAAAAATGTGAAGTCAGGGAACCAGGCCATTGAAGTCTGTCCCTATCTCTGGCACTTACAAGCTCTATGCCCCTGGGCAGGTCACTAAGCCTCTCACTACAGTGAGCAGAGCTTTTTACTGGTTCCTCCCACACTACAGTGTGAACATACAAAGCCTGGACCCCAGTAAGGACCCCTTGGTAACGCTGACCACAGCAGCTACCATTTTGATTAAAAGGATGATGGTATTGGTGATTATAGCTATCAAAGGGCACAGACCAGGAATCTGCATTTCACAGCTGATTCTATAGCCAGTTTTGAGAATATCTGCTTGCAAGGTGACTCTCGTGGGTAAAAGAAAGTCAGACAACAAGACATAACCCTCAAGGTTTGGGCAAAGCAACCAGGGTGGGTAAAGGCAGTTTCAGAGTTGCTCCAAAGACAAGCAGAGGAACACAGATTTAATTTGGAAAGGAAGGAAATATTTAATGGAAATGAAAATGGTAACATCTGGATTTAAAGATTCCCTTGGCAGAGGAGGGGAGGGTGAGTTTGGAGCCTGGGAAACCCAAGTGTTATAGTGTGTTGACAAAAAAACGCTCATGGGTACACTGGATATGTGTACAACTGTGCATAGGATCTGAGTTCAGATATGCTCTGGGACATTTAATGATTCACCCCCCAAAATAAACCAAATACAAAGGTGCTCACCCTACCCTTCTCCCTTCCCACCAGTGCCCCCAACACACACACCTGCGCCCATGAACATGCATACACACAGGCAGCCATGCACTTCCCAGCCAGAAGCAGAGTGAAAACAAAGGTGAGCACAGTGGGAGGCCAAGGCCAAGGCCAAAGCCAAGGACAAAGCCAGGACTGGACCCACCTTTGCAGCGCTCACAGCAGGCGCCCCTCTGCTTGATGGCCAGGGCACAGTCTCGCGGCAGCACCGGGCACTTCTCCCGCTGGCACGTCACTTCCTTGTTCTAGGCAAAGAAAAAGACAGGAATAATGGGAAATCAATATCAGAATCTCCAAAACCCTTACCCTTGAGGAGTCCTCTGCTTCCTATCTTGCTTTCATCTTGGCTGGAAAACGCGGTAATCGCAAACAGAATCTCACCCTCCCAGGACAGAAATATCTGCCCAGGAACACAGGACTCAGGAGAGCGGGAGACCTTTAGAAATGAAAGGAGATAAAATGTGCCTCTTTAAACATCAGCTGTGCCCAGATAACCCAACGTCCAGGGACACGCTTTCTCCAGCTCTGTTCTATGGTTTCTTTTCGGTGTGCACTCCAGAAAGATAATATTTGTGTAAACCTTATTTTGTCCATTGGGCTACCTGGCCAAGGCTGCATCGTGAGAACAAAAATATTTTCTCATGGCCAGCCAACAATCCTTAGCAGTGAGTGCATTAAAATGCAGCAACCTAAAGTTGAATATTGAATTGGCTCCATGAGAAGAAAAAATAATATTTCATGTGCCAAGCAGAGACACTGTCGCCAGTGTTTTACAGCCCTGGGACAGCTGCGTTGCATTAACACTTATGCTAATGAGAGTGCAGTGAGTATTTGAATCTTTGGTTTCATCCCTAAGGGTCAGCTGTTAAGTATCCCGGAGAAAGCAGATCCAAATGTGGAGTGTACACCTGTCTGTATGCAGAGCTGATGCGTATGATCCAAAGACTGTCACAGAATGTCTCCAAGGATGGTGCTAGCTCAGGACTAATTGTGTGCTAGGACCTGTGTGTTCTATTCTTACTCAGATCCCTTGAGGTAAATACTATCATTCTTTTTGTTTTTCTTTTTGAGACAGGGTCTTGCTACACAGTTCAGGATGGCCTTGAATCCTCCTTCCTGCCTCAGCCTCCCAAGTGCTCGGATTACAGGCACGTGCCAACACACCTGGCAGTTAAATACTATCGTTATCCCCATTTTACAAATAAGAAAACCACAGCTCAGAGCTGGTAGCTGACTCGACCAATCTCGCACAGCTGTGCAGTGGCAGAGGCAGGATTCAGACTAGAGTCTTGAATGCCCACAGCTGTACTCCAGCGGGGTCAGGCGGTGCTGCTGCCATTCTTGGATGTTGTGGGGGCTGTGAGAGAGGGCACCTGGCCAGCTCTGACACCTTGGGATGCCTAGGTCACTTGTGGCAAACCTATGGCATGTGTATTGTTTTTCTTTTAAGACTAAAGATGTTAATGTAGAGTTGTTCTTTCTAAATTAAAACCTCAGTACTCAGGTTTCATTGCAGTGTTGGCACTCTGCGATAAACAAGTGGGTTTGGGGTTGCAGTTCGGGCACTCATCTCTAAAAGGTTCCCCATCACTGCCCTAGACCCCTCTTTGATGTGGAAATCTTATCTTGGCCCTGACAGTGACCCTGAGAAGATCCTCAAGTCTTCTGCACACTTAAATGTTGTGAACAAGGAAGATCTCACCTCCAGAACCATGGAGATATGTGCTTGTGAGGGGTGAGTGTGTGCATGTGCGTGCAGTGAGGGCATGTGTGCGCATGTAAGTGAGGTGTGTGTGTGTGTGTGTGTGTGTGTGTGTGTCTTGGGGGCTGGAACCTAAGCCCAGCTCTATACAAAGCCAGCCCCAGGCTGTGGTATGATGACGCTCATCGCTCTCTGTGTTCCCCTCCAACACCCTCCCACAGCCTGATGCTGCTCTAACCCTGATGCCACTCCAGTCCATGATCGTGACCTCCAGGTCCCCAGGGCCCCTAGACCCCCAGCTCACAGGTCCCAGCCCCCACTGTGACTCTCAGGGCCATGGAGAGGGCTGGGCTTCCACTGCTGTCTCTGTCTCAGGCCTCACATTCCCTGACTGCAAGGCTTCGCAAGGCTACCCAAGAGCCACAGCATCACAGGTCCTGCCCAGCCACCCAGGGAGAGTATCAATGCTGCCGCCCGGACAGACCCACCCGCCTGGCCTCCAGCAGGACTGTTGGTTGCTGGCTTTGTTTCAGTCCCTGGTTGTGGGTCAGGATTAGGGGTGGGTGGGGTGGCCTGAGTAATCCCGTTTCTCTTTTCCCTTGTTTTTCTGGTGTCTCTTCCGTGGTTGCCGCCCTCATGGGTTGAACTCGTTTCCTGCGTGTTGGGAGCCCTCAGCCTCCTTGTGGCTTAGAACCCTGCCATCTGGCTTCACAGAGGCTGGGGCTGCTCCACCCCGGGAGCCTGGGTCTGGTTATGCTAAGGAGGCGTCACCAGTGTGTCTCAGGGCCAGGGATTTCCCCAGTGCGGCCAGGGCTGAGAGCCACTGTGGTAGAGGAAGTGTCCTGGTCCCCAGAAGCTGCAATGGGTGACAGAGCTGCCTGCGGTGCCTCTGTGAGCAGCAGACACACCCAGTTTCTGCCTCCATGGCTCCCTCCTCATTCTCCTCATCTCCAGCACGAAGGTGGTATCCAGGCTAACAGCCCATGCATTTATTCTTACAACTTTCCTTACAGTCAAACATAACAGTGAAGGTCACAATTCAAATTAAGGCAACGCATACCAAAAATTCAAAACGTCATCCCGTTACTCTCACCAACTCATCAAGCATAACCACTGGGAATGCAAACTGCTTATCATTATTAACCATGACTCACCTTTGCCACATATACCTTTGCTAGCCACCTCCTCATGCCCAACGCCCACTGCCCACCCCAGGATGATGGAGGAGTGAAATTCTGTGGCTTTATGCAGTCACCAACCTGCACAGGGCCACCCTCAGGGCATCCTCTCTCTCCAGTGCCGGGGACGGGGCCGGGCGGCGGAGCTCCCAGGCAGTCAGAGGGATGTGAGGATGCAACTGGGAACTGATAAACAGGAATGCACAGAGCCTGAAATACGGAACTGGTTGCTAAATCAGAAGTGTGGGAGTGAGTCAGAACCAAAAACAAGACCCCAAGATTCATAAAAATGGCTTGTGATCACAGGCCAGCACAAAAGCTGTTCCAACCAAACGGTCCATAGGTTCACATCTGAGATTTCCTTTGTGTGTATTATGCGTGTGCATGCTCAGGTGAGGGCGTGCGCGTGTGCACGCGCGCACACACACACACACACACACATCTTGGCTGTAGATTTAGTGGGGTCTTCCCCTTCTGCTTACAAATGGAATTTTCATATAGTTTATCAAGGGTCATGCTGGTGTGCAACTGCCATACCCGATCATTCCCCCGGTGTCTGACTGGGAGGTAACTGAAGGTCTGCTCCGAACCTCAGGACCTCAAAGAAAAATAAACAAACATAAAAGCTCTGGAGAATCTCTGTGAGCAGCTAATTTCCCTCATCGCCTTAACTGAGTGCAGCAGCTTTAGGGTAAACTCAAACACAGGTTGATCAAGACCACATGCCCCGCCCCTCCCCATTCTGCCAGGAGAGAGAAACACTCATCCTGAGTCAGGGGCTCTGGTGGGCAGTGCAACAAGCAGGCAGTGCCCTCGGGGGGCCCGTCACCCCAGCCACATGGCCCTCCGGCAGCATCTGCCATCGCTGTGGCTCCAAACCTGCCACAGGCAGCCTGCAGACACCTGCTGGGTTCTCGTAACAGGAAAGTGGCTTCCACCTGGGTATGGCAGCAGAAAGGTGCCCATCACACCACTGAAAGCCAGACCAGCACCCTCTACCAATGGCCCCCAATTCTCACTGGAGTTGGAAGCTCCCCAGTTCTAAGCAAACAGAAGCCATGGCAGAAAAGTCACACTCAAGGAAAAGAAGAGAACACTGAAAACCCAGCCCAGCCAGCCAGCCAGCAGGACAGCAGGCCTCCCCACACCCCTCAGCCTCGCCTCTGCCTGGTCTGCGCCTCTCCAGGGTTGGCCCGCAGGATCAGCCCGCTTGCAAAGGTGTCCATCTGCACTGTGCCTCCCTTTCAAGGGAGGGACCTGGGCCCTCCAACGCTTACCAAGTACATCAGGACGAGCAGCCTCAGGGACACCCTCAGTGGAGCACCAATGTGCAAGGGTAAAAAGGGCGCAAGGAGGAATAAAAAGAAAGAAATCGACATGCCTGGCAACAAGGTCCATCAGGATGGGAGCCCAACCACAGCCCCAGCCACAGTTCAAACAGGATTCTGCGCTGTCATGAGCTGTGCCCAAGAGCGTCACCAGGTGGCAGCACAGAGCACACCGGGCACAGAAATTATGGTTGGGTCTGGCACAGCCTGAGAGCATTTTCCAGCCTGTCCAGGGTGCTGGGACTGCTCTCAGATAAGGGCAGGGGAAAGGTAGCAAAGCACTGCTGCCCACTGTCCCTGTGTGCCTTCCTCCACCAGGGAAATAAAGAAAGTTTGAGAGGCTTTTGCTAACAGTCCCTGCCAGAGTCTTAAATTTTTCAAAGATTCTTCCAGAAGCGGGACTATTGTAGAGTATGGAAAGTATCGCCTGACCCATTCACGTGAGTAAATAATAATAAAGATCTGGAGACAAAAACACATCAGCTACCTGATGAGAGAGGGTGGGAGATGTCCTCAGATGGTGACGTGGAGTCACAAGTCACTTGAAATAAGAATAAAGGCGAAGATGCCCAGGGCCCCACCCTGACTCCGTATGGTCAGCTCTTCTAG